CTCGTTAAAACCCGGCCGTCCCCGGTGTTCTACTTCTCTTTTTCCCGAGAGACCCGCCGGTGCTCAGTCGGCAGCATGGGTAGGTGTCTATGGGGGAGGTTACTCACCGGCCCGGGGGGTGGTAGGGTCGGTGGAGGGATGCTACCTCCAGGCTGGGCACTAGAGGGGTCCTCAAGCCACCTCCCCCTGACCCCGGCTGTCTGTGGTGGGCTGTGGGCAGTCCTCAGGGAGATGGCTGTGTGGCCGAGGGATCTCAGGATGCTAGGGCTGGTTCTGCTGCTCAGTGCAGGTCTGAGGGCACCTTTTGGCGCTCCTCTGGGCCATCCCTAGCCACTGCTTCTTCACCAGCCTGCTTCCTCTGGGGCAACTCTTCCTCCAGCCAAGCTTGTATGACCCTGCACCGAAACCCTAGTGAAAGCCAAGTGATGTCACCTCAGCCCTGGTAAGCTCTTTGAGCTGAATCCCTGGCTGGTAAGGCTTATCTTGGAGTTTAAAATCCTAGCAAAAGTTAAATGTGGTGTTTCTCATAGCTCTTAAATAATGCTTTTTCACAAGAAACTTCACCTAGAATTGACCTTGTCAATGTTCTTTAGATATGTAGAAACACAGATGGAAGATTCAGACTTTTAAATAGTTTATCCTGAAAATTCAAAACTGGAACACTCTGTAGCAAAGGGACAAATGATGCTTCTCTGCGGTCAAGCTCTCCATTGGCCTTCACTGGACCCTTGATTCTGTAGTGTCTGAGCATGTTGGTGTGCCTCTCCTCACAAGCAGTTCCTGAACTGGGGAAACCTGGTCTCACATAGGGGAGGAACCTGAGGTGCCCAAAAAATGAGAAAGTACCACTGCATCTTCAGCAGGCAAATCTGTGCTCAGGCAATCATAAAGATGAGCAGGCAGAGCTCAGCAGTGCTGCTCCCCAGAGGGGCGCTGGAGTCTTGCTGGTTTAGGCAGCCAGCTGGGAAAATGATGGCTCTGGGAAGAGAGAAACCTGATGCAGCTGGATCTGCTCATGTAACAGCAAGTTTGCTTGCATTATAGTTTTGTTTTGATGGTTTCTGTGTTAGTGTCTCTCTGGAAGAGCGAGGTGTGAAGCAGAGACTCCTGGAGTCATTTGTCCTGACAACAGCAGCATCCTTGTGTAGGTGCTATAAGGCTGCTCCAAGGAGCAAAGGCAACAGCCTTGGTTGTACCATGAGTCAGGCAGCAGGAGCGCAGGTTTGCTCTGGAGCCAGGACCATCCTAGGTGGCAGCATGGTTGTGTACAGGTAGCCTGGCCACAGACATGAAGTATTTCAACCAGGTAAAGTTGCTGTGATGACTGCATGGAGCAAGGCAACGCGCTCCCATCTTGTGACGTGGACCATGAGCCAAAAGAGCTGCAGCTTACCACAGCATCTCTGTGACTGCATGGTATTGTGCTGGTGAGAGCTGCTGAGGAAGTGCTTGCAAGTATGGGAAGGAGAAGAGTGAACCAATGAGAACTGACTATTTCGATTCAGTGCTCAAGCCAAGAACTAAGTGTCTTCTGTCTCTTTGCACTGTTCAAAAGTATTTTAGTATCTTAAGGGAGTACCAAGTGCTTAACTGCTTAGAGGTTTATTTTGACAAATGCAGAACTCTTCAGTGTTTTGTGGTGAAAATGAACAGTTCTGCGGGTTGTTCTTTGTGGGGAGTCACTGAGAGGTACCAAGATTGCCCAAAGGAAGCTGCTTTGATGTACCACTAGCAAAACCCAGATTTATCACTGAAATTGATGTAAAACGCTGGGTGCTCTGTGTTGGTTTTTTTTTTTACCTCAGACAGTTTAGGTGCCTATGTTGAAATGTTGGTTTTAACACCATCAGGAGTTTACTGACTGTTGCTGTAAAAGGAGAATAGAGGATTAAAGTCAAAATGGTTGAGAAATAAGTGTCTCTTAAACATTGAAGTAAATGTTGTCTGGAAAAAAAGGCTTATTCAGTGTCCTTTGCATAGGGTTTCTTGTAGAGGTGATACATTTACTCTGGAAATAAAAAAACCCAGTCAACTGCAAGTTCCTTGATATTTTTTCCCAAGGCTTAGCTAACAGACAGGAGTGAGCTGCTCAAATTGACATTTCCTGTATGTTATGAAAAACTGGCAGTATGACACATGTGTGCTGGGAAGACCGACATGTGGAAATTATCAAGGAGCGATTATGAAGATAGCTTCTATTGCTGCTGCCTTGGGATCCGTCAGTATATCTGCTCATAGGCGTGGTGTAAGGGACTTTACCAGTGACTTTACTGACACGTGTGTCTGCATGTGCCTTGAAGTTGTCATGTTAGCACTTTCTGATGTTACTTGTTTTCTCGGAAAATATTTTCTTGGATTACCTGCATAATACTGCCTCTGTCTCTATTGTGAAGGTAGTTGTCCACAGCAGTGAAGACAAGAATCAGATTACTTTGTTTTAACAACTTTTGAAAGTGACTTTATTTAGTATTGTGTCAAACGCTATAGTGTTGCTGTCAGCTGTTTTCATCTGTGGGGCACTATGGACTAAGTAATTGTCTTGGCAAACATATTTTTCTTATAGAGCTCTATTGTGGGCACACTTCATTTGCAAATGGAGATTTCAAAGTTCACCCTTTGTACTTTGCCTTATCTTAATGATAATGAAGTTGCTCATGTGGTATTATAGGAAGTGCTGACATCCACTCTGTGGGCACAGGGCCTTTATTCACAACCCTGTGAACCCAGCCTTTGGGCCTGTCCCCTGGGCCAAGTAAGCCCTGCGGGACAGTGCTTGGAGGGCTGCCAGGGATCCAGCGGGACCCTTCCTGTGCTTTCCAGGGCTTCCTAGGTTAATCTTCAGGTTACGGGAATGCCTGCTAATGTGGGTCACTCCGTTGGGCTGTGTATTCAGCCTTCCTTAAGTCTAAGCCATGCAAAGTTTGTCCCTTTTCAGAACTTGGCATCCACCCTGGCAGGGCATCTTTGGTCTGTTCCTTACTCTTCAACTGCTTTTAGGGTAACATCTGTGAGAGTGAATTGAAATAGGATTCTTCTCCTGTGTGTGGTAGGGTGGTCTACCACCACCTTGAATGATGTGTGGTGAGCGATGATGAATGGTGTGTAGTAGAGTGGGATGCTTTGTCTTGTCAGTCCTTTTTGGTTTTTCCTTGGGAGTGTGTGTGAGTCTATGCATAGCCTGAAGAAGAAAAAGCAATCAAGCAAATTTTTTCCTAATAACCTCCTTGCACCATGAAAAGTTCCCCCCTTAAACTGAAAATTTACTCATCCTGAACAATATTGTATTAGTGCTTCATTATTTGTTTTGAGATGAACTTTTCCAGTGTCTTCCAGTGGGTTTAAAGGGATGTTATTTAGTAGTTTCCATTAACTTACGGTTTTTCCCTTTCACAGCTGCAGAAAGGAAGAGAGAGAGAGTAAGTATTGGGTTTTTTTATTAAAAAAATACTATATTGACTCTCTTTGGGTTACGTTGTTTGGGTGAACTTATCAGTGCACAAAAAAGTCATCCTATGAACATACTCATTATTTTATACTTTTAAAGTTATTGGCCAACACACACAGAACAGCCTGGTAATTCATTAAGTCCCAGCTAAGCATTAGTGTGCTCACCACCCTGATAAAATGTCTGAAGAGCCTCTGCTGACTGCGCAGATGTTGGCTGGGAGGAGAAGGGTCCCTGGAGCCCATCCGTCCTGCGGCTGACTTGTCATCATCTGCTGGCTCTCCCTTAGGACCTTTTGATATCAGTGTCCTTCCTCTTGAATCTGAACTGTTAATGACACTTGTCTCAGCAACCCTATCTCTGTCTTTGCTTTTCTCATCTCGCAAGGTTTTACTCCATAGACTTTCCCCACAGATTTCTCACACTTTAGTGGCTTCCTCAGGAAAGCTGTGCAGCTGGGTGGTGTCAGACCTGTGCTTGGCATCCCCAGGGCAGGGGAAGATTACAGAGAGTGTTACAAAATGTAACCTTCAGGCTACCTCTCTTCAGTGATGGATCCAGTGCTTTCTAGCCAATACGGATCACAACAGAAGATGTTTCAGTAAATGTATGTATATGCACATGTATAATGCACCAGAGGTTTGAGAGGACAGTATAGTGCAAAACAAGAACAGTATAGGTCATATATTATCAAGGTATAACTGTGCATTCTCTTCTTGCTTGTAAAGAAAGGTGTGCTGTGGGGGTTTGGCATAGTGGGGTTTTTTTGATGGGTTTGTTGGGTTTTTTTCAAAACTATTGGCTTTCTGCATATTTTTGGATACCAATCAAGGTTGCTCAAGACTTCAAATGTGCATAGTTTGATGCCTGAAGGTCAGATGTAATGTTGCCAAAGATTTCTTGCAAAGGGCAGAGAAGCCTGTAGAGCTCTGGGGACCAAGAGAGTGAGAGTTGGCTCAGCTAAATCAGTGTTGTTCCACTGAAGCTCATGCAGCCTCCTAACCCCTGAGTACCTACTTGCTCCTGCAGAGTTTGTACTGAGCTTGCTCAAGCTGTGGGTTGCAGTGAGTGACATTGGTCTGTGTCACGTAGCTCTGAGCCCACACTGTCTGTCTCTTGCCTGCAGCGGAGGTACCCACTCAGCATCTTCCTCATACTCATCAATGAGTTCTGTGAGCGGTTCTCCTACTATGGCATGCGAGGTACGTCCCATGTCCTGTATGTCCTCATGCCTACCATTACTTACACAGTCCTTAATTTGGTTTGTAACCTGTTGTTTTGTTCTTCTTCCTACAGCGGTGCTCGTTTTATATTTCAGGTACTTCTTGCAATGGGATGATAACTTGTCTACAGCCATCTACCACACATTCGTTGCTCTGTGCTACTTGACACCCATCCTCGGGGCGCTCATTGCAGACTCTTGGCTGGGAAAGTTCAAGTGAGTGCTTCCTCAGAAAACCAAAAACCATGAAAGCTCAGCTGAGCTCAGTGGTACTGAACCCATCTCCCAAAGATGCAGTTCAGAGCTGGTGTTGCCTGCTCCAGAATTGTTTCTATTTTATTTTTTTTTTACCCCAAAGCTTGAGGTTTTATTTCATTTAGTTCAGAGCTAGCAAATGTTACAGTTCTGCTAATCAGTTAAGTGTTGTAGCTTGTGTTCTGGGCATGATGCACGTTTTTCTCTCACCTGGACAAATTGTAAGTTAAACTAAGGAAAATTATTCATCAAGCTGTGAAAACAGACTCTGGAGGCTATAATTACATTGGTTTGAATCTTTACCTATTGCAGGTTGTCAATGAAATTGTAAAATACTGTTATATTAACTGGGACTTTTAGAATATATTCTAAAATATTCTGTAATTTCAGTTTTAACTTGACAGCTCAGTGGGAGGCTGAGTTGCAACTCTTTCTTTAAATGATGAATTCTGAGTTTTTATCTGTGTGCAAGTTGCCCAGAAATGTACCACTGAGTGAAGAGCTTGGAAATGTAACCAAATTATTTTCGACAGCCTGATCTTGCTCCCTTTTACTGAGGTCATGGTTCTAATAGTGTTTACTTCACCAGAAGAGAGCACAATAAAGATTTTATGGGGGGATATAAATCAGGAATGTTCGCTGACTTGTCAAAGATCTCCCAGAGATGAGAGATGAAGCTGGGTGTGTTACCTTCTTCCGCTGTGTTGACAGCCTCTGGCAGACCAGGGCTCCTCTCTGGAGCCAGCCCCATCAGTGTAAGCTCATTGCAAGTAGCTTCAGATCTTGCAGACTGCAGCCTGAATCTATGTGCACTCACTTGGTCACATGGTATGATTTTTAAAATGTTTTTGGGTTTTTTAAAATCTATTTTGGCTTTTACCTGTTTTATCTGATACTTGTGTATACCAGTGCCACAGCTGCAGGCGCCCAGCCACCAGATCCTTAACAGGAGCTCAGTAGAAAGGCTCAGGGCTTAAAACTGGAACTTTTAAGTTTGACAAGAAAAAAAAACAACCCACAAACATGCTTTTGGAAAAAAAAGAAATTATTTGGTTTAATGTATAGATGCCCCACAGTGGGGAAGGCTTAAACAATAATTAGTTAAAATAAAAATCTATGATGATAAGAGGAAGAGGAGATTACTTAAGCTCTCTTGTAAGAGAGGCTCAGACCTTATACAGTCCGTATACTCTGTGCAATGTCTTCCAAGGAGCATGCTGCCACCTGCTCACATACTGTTAGATGTGAAGTTCTTGGAGAAAACAGTACAGAAATCAGTTACTTTTTTATTTGGTGCCATCTATGCAGTGCCCATTATGTGAGTGTCGTCTTCAAGGATGTGTGTGAGCCTCACAAATAAAACCCAGAAATTTTTCTCCTTGTCAGCTCGGGTTTAACTTCAATGGAAACTTACTCTCAAGCTGTTAAGCAACTTAAGTAACTATATCGAAGTGCTATTTATTAAAAAAGAAAGTCTGTATACTAAGTAGCATATTCACTGTTGCCTTGCTTTGTGTAGATTTTTACCCTGCTACAGGAAAGAGCATTTTTAAATCAAGAAAACCTTGTTTTAATGTGAGAAGAACTTGGTCAATGGTGTGAGTGATGCTGCTTCTGTTCCTTCTATGTCAAGGTGCTCCAAGCTTGCTGTGAGGATCTCTTGCCTTTGTCAAATAGATTGGGGTTGTCCTAAATCCTTGAGCCTTGCCCTTCAGTGTTGTGGACCACACTGGCTTTGGGACTGCTGCTTCTGCAAACTAGAGTTTTAAACAATTTCACAGCATTGCATCCTATTTCTTCTGCTCTTCCTCCCAACCAGAGACCTGGGTCTGTGGCTATAGAATGAAACCCCAGCCAAAGAAGTGGATGAACCTGGATTAAACTATAGTCATACACTTAAGCTCAAAGAAAGTTAAAATGGAGCATGTTCTGACATACAAGAAAGAGAAATGGACCCTAAAGGCATGGGAATGGGGGCTGGGGGTTCCCTGGTGTTACCTTTCCAGGCACCTCCCTGCAGAGGAAAGCCAGGCTGAGAGCCTGCAGTCTGTGCTCTTCAACACTGCTCTCGCTTTGCCCAGAGTTTGAAGATGTTGGTACACTTAACAACTGAGAGAGTGGGGTAACGGAGGAGTTGTTCACAACAGTTTCCATGTTTAATGTAGATTTTTAAGTTTTAATTTTTTTTTACTCCTTGCAGCTAAATAACATAGAGATTGTTTAGATGATATTAAAATCATTGTAAATTGCACACTTCAGTGCTGTAGAGTAGTCCATTTGAACTTTGCCATACATGAAACATGATAATGGTATTTTTGAGTTGGTTATTAAAAAGGCAACCACTGAAGGTGTTTAAATATCTCCTGTGAGCTGGTGATATCTACAGAATCCATCTGTCATCTTGACTTGCTTAATTAAACAAAGCTAGTTAAAATGATGATTAAAAAATAAACAGAGTAGAAATCTTGCGACAGAGGTATGCGGACAGATTTTTACAGTGGCTTATGATAAGTTGAGTCCGTAGCTGGTTGTATCTGTTAATTATGCTTCTTTACTAAGCATCTTTGAAATAAGCAAGTCTGCATTATTGGTGTGTGTACATCTGTGTGTAATTGCGTTAACACAGATCTGAAAATTTCTCTCCTGTCTTTATAACAGGACAATTTTCTTCCTGTCCATTATCTATACGATTGGACAGGCAGTCACTGCTGTGAGCTCCATAAATGACCTGACAGATCACAACCGGGATGGCTCTCCTGATAATTTATCACTGCACATGTGAGTTACTTTGTATGTGGAGTTTTTTCTAGGTTGATGGAGGGTGGGACAACTTATGCCTTAAATTTATGCTACTTGAATTTCAACTGTCTTGCAATCAGACTCCTATGTATGCTTTAAGAAAGCAAAGTGATTTCTTGTTTTCCTTTTTCTCTTTCTGCTTTGTTCCAGTGCTCTGTCCATGATTGGCTTGATCCTCATTGCACTTGGTACTGGTGGGATCAAACCTTGCGTGTCAGCATTCGGTGGAGATCAGTTTGATGATGACCAGGTAACAATATCTTTCAGATTCTTCAATTGTACAGATACTCTTACTAATGTTTGACTATTATAATACCATAATGTAATATAATATTCTATGTTGTATTATTGTATTAGACATTAAATGTAATATAGTATAACTTTAATATAATACTAAAAGATAATAGACATATTTAGACATGTGCATTACTGTAGTGTTTCCTGAGTAGCTGCAGAAGGAGCTAGATAGCTGTTTGTCTTGAACAGTGCAGAGAGAGCTGCTGGTTGTTCAATCTAGGCTGATCAATGAAGTTCTGGCTAAGCCTTTCTAAACATGTTTTTGTTTCCACTGTAGGAAAAAGAAAGAACTACATTCTTCTCTATCTTTTATTTGTCTATTAATGCTGGGAGCCTCCTATCAACTATAATCACCCCAACGCTCAGAGGTGAGTCTCCACATTTGTTTATGAAAGAGTTAAACATCAGTAAAGGATGAGTGTTGCATTGCAGTCCAGTTAGGTTTAAATAAGTTATCTGTTCTTTGGCACCTTGTGGAGTTATCTGGCAAATCAGTCTTCAGGTTTTCATGTATGTCATCTGGCTTCTTCCAGGTGAGGTACTATCAGAAACAAGCCAGTTTGAGACCTGAATTGCCTTTAGGATCAGAAGTATTAGATCTGAAGAGCCATGCTGAAGCTATCACCTTGTGTGCCTAATGCATATTTTAATTCTATGGAGGTACAAATGTGGCACCTCTTCTGATGCCTTTAAAACCATCGTATGAGAAAGAATTGTACTGTTTGCTGAGAAGGAAAGTGAGGAGAGAGTCCTCCACTCGGGAAGTGGACTCTTCTAAAGAGTGCCCATGCAAAGTACAGAAGCATCTATGCAGATGGGAACGCAGTTAGCCATGTGACAATGTAAATCATGCTTTTCATATTGTTAAAGGAGAAAAAGATTTTTCTCTTCTGCTTATAATAGCATGATCCTAAACAGAAAGCAAACAGTTCAGTGATCCATATGCATATGGATTTTCATGGCAAGCTTAAGCAGATGGTGCTGTAGGGATGTGCTTGGCAGGAGTTTGAAAAAGGCTGTTTTTCTCAAAAGCAAGAAAACAGCGTGAGAGTGCTGGAATAACCCTAAAGCACTGGGCTGAAATTCCAGCCTTTGGATTTCTCAGCTGGAACAGACTATGTAGAAGCATTTTAGATGTTTGCTTAAAGCAAGTTCTGTCCTTTCCCAAAACGGAAGGAGATATGCATAAGGCACAACATACAGTTTGCTTCCATGCTGATACAGGATGAAAGCTACCTTAGAAAAACAGAAAAATTCAGCTGGAAGAGGCGGTACCATGATGTCCTGTAAAAGTTTAACCAAAAGGCTAATACAACTAAATCAAGACATTAATTAGCTGTAAGCTAATATTTTTTTCAAATCAAACTGTAGTTTTCCTGTTAGAAGTTATGTGGTGAAAAAGGTAGTAATTTTGTTTAGTCTTTTAATTTTCCCTGTTAGTAGCTATGTCCACACTGAGCATCATTTCAGGATGTATGCATGAAGTGGCTTTAATACTGACTTCATAAAGTCAAATCACTTATTTACTAAGGGGGGGAGAAGAAGGGGAGAATTTTTTCAACAAGCCATACTTACGTTTCTTACCAAGAACATGCATTTGATTACTCTAGTAGGATTCTTCACTGGACAGTGTAAAACTAAACGTAACTGTCCTTATGAGGAGAGGCTGAGAGAGCTGGGACTGTTCAGCCTGGAGAAGAGAAGGCTCAGGGGGATCTGCTCAGTGTGTGCAAATACCTGAAGGGAGGGTGCACAGAGGACACAGCCAGGCTCTGCTCAGTGGTGCCCAGTGACAGGACCAGAGGCAGTGGGCACAACCTGAAACACAGGAGGTTCCCTCTGAACATCAGGAAACACTTTGTCACTGTGAAAGTGACTGAGAGCTGGCACAGGTTTCCCAGGGAGGTTGTGGAGTCTCCATCCTTGGCAATACTCAAAACTTGAATGTGGTCCTGGGCAACAAGTTCTAGGTGGCCCTGCTTGAGCCAGGGGATTGGACCAGATGACCCCCCCAGAGGTCGCTTCTGACTTGAACCATTTTGTGATTTTTGTGATACATAATTCCCCTTTTCAATAATGAAAGATAATTTGGATACTGATCATCCATTCTGTCAATATCAGCAGAGATGGTTTTTTTTGCCTTCTGAGTTAACAATGAATGTGAAGAACAGAAACCCTATGTAAGATACTGGCAGCGCTGACTGAGACTAATTACATAATGTTACTTTGTACTTCAGCTCAAGAGTGTGGCATTCATAGCAAACAGCGATGTTACCCACTAGCTTTTGGAGTTCCTGCTGCCCTCATGGCTTTCTCTTTAAGTAAGTGGATCTGTTTCCATCTTGTTTCTTCAGTTAGACATGATTAGATGATGATTATCTCAGAATAATGAGAAAGTGGTAGAAATCTTAATGTATCAACCTCTATCAATACCTGATTGTTTCTGAGATTTTTTTACTTCAATGGTTTTCTTGGGTGGGGGTGGTGAGTGGGATTAATCTGAAGCACTCGCTTTTACAGAAGAGATCGACTTACCAGGAGATGCTGATGGGTCTGGGCAGAGGCACAAATATACCATTGAATTCTGTACATTATGTAACTTACTGTCAGTATGTCTTGGACTACTGAGGTGTATAAATAAGATCTCTAGAATGTAATGTGTGAGAACACCGAGAAAATGTGGTTGTTGGAAACTATCTGTAGTCCAGGATAGTGAACTGTATGAAGTAATTGTCCCTGCATGGGAGAAATGCCATCCTGGTGTGTCAGTATTTCTCAAAACTCTGTATTTTAACTAGCTGTGCTACAGCTCACTCCCCCAGGCCTTTCTGCTGCAGCACAAAGACCAAGAAGCTGTGGGATGTCACTATGCACCACGGTATCCCTTGTGGTCCTGGTCCTTCATGGTCCTGACTAGGACCCAGCCAAGGGTGGGCCTCCACTGGTGAACTCATCTTGCCCATGCACCCAACCCAGGGTGGATGGCGGCTGTGGGGGTTTACCTGCACATGGGAGGGTGAGGCTGGAGCACGTGCCTGGGTGCGGGTGCTGAGGACACCTTGGCGAGTCTTGCGGTTCAGGCACAGCCTCACGTGTCCCTGTGTGATGTGAGCGTCCTGGGCTCCTGAAAAGGAGCCTGGAAAGCTGCCTTACTCTGGTACAGCAAGGTCAGAGCCAAGGCCTGAAGTGGTTCTTGTTTTGACCATACCTCAATTAAGCTGATATCCCACTGAGGACTTACCCTAAAGGTTTCCAGATTTAGTCTTTTGTCTTAAATAGAAGCAATCTGCTGGCATTAATTTGACTTCTTTTACTGTATGATAATATGCCAGTCGACAATTTCATTGCTGCTTAGGAGTCTTATTCCCACCCTGATGTAATTTCTTGACTGTTATAGTTTCCATTCCAAATTAATTGCCACTATTTTCAATTAATCCTAACTTGCTTTTGGTTTGTTTGTTTATTTTAGTTGTGTTCGTACTTGGAAGCAAATTGTACAAGAAAGTTAAACCTGAAGGAAACATAATGATTCAAGTTTTCAAATGCATTGGAGTAAGTACTATTTATATTCCCAGAACCCTGGCAGCAATTTTTTAAACTGTTCAGTAAACTTGCCTAGTTCAGAAATCTGTCATAATATGAGGAAAGCTTCTGAAGTTTCTTATTTTTTTCCTTACAGAAGGATTCTTACTGACATCTCCAGATTTAGACTGCCTCTTTATTTATCTATATCTTGGTTTATATGTGAACTTATACACCAAGGAAACAAAGTATGATGTCAGTGATGTATAAAAGCTTATCCCAGCTTCTGGGAATGATTCTTTCTTCATTTGTGCACTGTTATGCAGCCCAGTAGCAAGAGATGAACATGCCTTGACCTGAGTCAAGAGCAGAGCCACTAGTATATCTTATCAGCAAATACTTATTGCTTATTAAAAGAACACTATTTACAATGCAGAGGCATATTGATCCCCACTGTACTCTAGGGAGGTCAAGGTGGTTACATGCCAGTGCAAGCCTGCAAGGAAGGGAGCTTAATCTGCGTGAATAGCACTGCATGTCCCAACTTCTTAGTGCCTCAACTCTGAGATCAGGGGATTTTTTTCATTTATGGGCTTCTTCATTCCCCATGCAAATTCTACCAGCTTGTTTATGGCCCAGACCATTGCTTGTTTTGTAAGCACTGTTAAAACCAAATTTCTATAGGTGACTTCAGCCATTGCTTAGAGTGCTGCCACTAAGGCCCAGCTCAGCTTTGCATGTTACTCCATGCAGAAAGTCTTAGGAGTTCTTCAGTACTATATTGGTATATTTTCAGTGTCAAGGTACGAGGAATGTCTACCAGATGCAGCTTCTCATAGTGAAATGTACTCTTACAGCCATTCAGCTCTGAAAACCTGTGCATACGACATTCTTCTATTTATTGTTGTGCATAAGCAAGTTTGAGGTAGGCAGGTCTCCAAGTTTCTCAATGTGGGTCGCTGTTAGAGAGACTACTCTGAGCTGTTTGGTTCACCTAATCCCAGGCGCACACTCCACTGTACGGACAGCGTGAGGCCTTAAATGCAATATTCCTTAAGATGCTTAGAGCAGCTAATAGAAGTCGGTCACCTTTATCACCCTCTAAAGCCAGAGTGTCATCTTTAATGACCAAACAGCTTATAGCATGACAAATAGTTGTAATGCCGTTAAACAAAATTCTGTTTCTGCTCAGTTTGCCATCAAAAACCGGTTTCGGCATCGCAGCAAGGAGTTCCCCAAGAGAGAGCACTGGCTAGACTGGGCCAGTGAAAAGTACAGCGTAAGTACTGCGTGAGCGCTCCTGTGCCATGACATCCCCTGACTCTCAGCTTCTCTTCTCTCCCCTCTGATCCATTGCCTCAAGTGCTGGTTAAATAGTTGTGGATCTCTCAATCATTTAGAAGCTAATGGCAAGGCCAAAGCTCCCCTGGGACTGCAGGTTACCACCCCCAGATCCTGTGGGAGAAAGCAGAGCTGTGTATGAGTTGATGCTCTGGTTGCCTGGGGATATTCAAGGACAATGAAGAAAAGACTGTTTCCCTTGTTGAACAAATACAAGCACCTATTAGTTTTACAATTAGTAAAATGGCAAGCATTTTCCCTGTCAACTTTTTGTTTCTCTCAGTAAACCAGCTTCAGAACCAACTTCAAAGAAAAAATGTGCAGGTTTAATAAGTGCAGAAGGGAAAATGTGTGTGGTGCTGACTGTCATTGTTAATGCCAGGGCCACAACACTCATCTTGGGATCAAAATGCAGAACTATGCTTAAAAAATCCAGCTTCAGTGAATAACCACTGCATCCTCCTGGCATTAGTACAAGGGCCTTACCATGCCTCTGAAAGTCTTGTCCCGTAGTCCCCAGCCATGTCCCTTGCCTTCTGTCCACCTTGCCTTGTTGTCAACTGCAGCACAAACCTGAGCCTGTCCCCTTTATTCTCCCTTTTCCTATATGTATTTTTCATGTGTGAAATGCATGTCCCAGTCCCCTGCTGTTCAAATGCCTCCTTCCTCAAAAAACAAAGCAACGCTAAGTGCTGCCATCAGTACACATGCCAAGAGGCACAGGTTTCTCCTGTATCAATGTCACCTTTAACCAGCAGCCCTCACCACACCCATGAGCCAGGCCTTGTGCTTTTTTAATAGATATCAGTGAAACACCCACAACATACAAAGTTCAGGGCATGGGTAAACATTAAATGATGTGTCTCTACCTGTTGCTGTGCTGCAAATAGCAGTCTGCAACTATTATTTTTTTTACTTTCTCTTGTGTAATTTTACTAATTCCTCTTGTGTAATTCTCACTTGCTGCAGAAACGACTGATTGCCCAAACTAAGATGGTGTTGAAGGTGCTTTTCCTTTACATCCCTCTCCCCATGTTCTGGGCACTTTTTGACCAGCAGGTAAAGTAGAAATTGTTTGACTTGGCAATTATAGCTGTACGATGTCACTCTATGGGCTCTGAGGCCACCAGACAAAAAAGGTGCCTGTGGAAGGGTGGAAAATAAATATCTGCAAACTCTTTAACCTGGTTTTAATGTGAAGGGGTAATTATTCTGAGTCACATTAGTACGGGAAGTTCTGTAGACAACGAGAATTCAGTTTATTTGGACGTGTCTAGGGCTGGTTCACTGACTTTCCAAATCTTATATCCACTGGGACTTAGATTTGCCTGGATCACACTGCTTTAGTCTAGTACAGGTGTGACCTGTCACCCATAGGCAATCCTGCTGTGAAATTCAGCACTGAATACTCACTACATGAATAATAACTATCACATCTGGCAGTGGTACATCACGGGTGGTTGAAGGCACTCACCGCAGATGCAGCAATGCACGTTCATGTCTGCCCCTGGGTTTGGGCTGAAAGTCAGCCCTGCTCGACCCAGCTCTGGGCAGCTTTTCTGGGCAGAGGGCTCAAGGCAGGTCCAGCCCTGGGAAGGTAGTGGGCAGGAAGGACAGACATGGCAGTGATGTGGGACACTCAGGCTCAGGCAGGTGACAAAATGGCACTTGGGTGGCTGCCATGCACAGCACACAGCAGTGCTCCGTGTGAGGTGTCCCTGCCTTCTCTCCAGCTTATCTCTCCAGCTAGATTACTTTCCACTTTATTTCACGGAACTAGTAAATAAAGTGAAATGGGCTGCAAGGATTACTCTGTTCAAATGTTTACAGTGCAGAGTAAGAATACTCCCATAGCAAGCTAGCTTTATTTTTTTTGTGTTGTGTGTCTTTCCCAATGCTTTCTTTATGAAAACAATTCAAGAGGAACTTTGGAAGATTGATTTACTGTGCCATTTACCTTTTCCTTCTTTTGTTAAGGGATCAAGATGGACACTGCAAGCCACAACCATGGATGGGAAGATTGTAGGTTACTTTTTATTGTTTGATTTTTTTTTGTTTTTCTCAATTAACAGTTACTTCTTAGATCAGTTTTATTTGTTGTCATAATATTAAAACCTATTTATTTTTACTTCACCAGGGAATACTGCAGGTGCAGCCAGACCAAATGCAGGTACAGTAATATTCTGTCTGTCAATTGTAAGCACTTCCAAAAGGTTTTTAATAGCCTTTCATTAAAAAAAAGGACTTTGAAAGATACTTAACTTTTTTTCCCTTCTTATGTTCTTCAACAGGTGGTGAATCCAATCCTGATTGTTTTAATGGTCCCAGTTGTTGATGGTGTGGTTTATCCTTTAATCAAGAAATGCAAGATCAATTTTACGTAAGTTAATGTAGTTACCTAACTTCAACAGAGGCTCATTTTAGTGGTTTCTTTTAATCACTCTTCCAGCCCTAAAGCAAAAAGAGCAAGCATTCAGCTAAGGAGAAAACAGTAGTGTATTTAAAATTGGGTTAATATTTTAAAGAAATTAAAATGTAACAAATACAGAATACTGCAAGGGGTATGTACAAGCACCACAGACTAGAGGAAGAGAATCTAATAGTAAAGTAATGATATTTTCCAGTTAAGGGTAAAATCTTTTGATTGCAGGAGAGATGCTGTTTACTCTTTTCCACTTCCCCCATGTCTACCTCCCCTCTTTCTCCCGAAGTATAAGTAGGAATGTCATTTTTTGGGCTTAAAACTACCTGAGACAAGATGTGTTTTCTCTTCAGTCCCAGTGAGGAGCCTGGCTCTCTGGATACTCCCAGGTGTAGCTTCAGAGGGCACTGCACATTATTTTTAATGTAGGTAATGAAGTGATTAGCACTTGCAAGTTGGAGAGACAGAAGAGAATACAGTTCTTAATGATTTTTGTAGGCCTAAGATGCAATGCTGCTTTTCCATCTAGTTGTGAAAAACTGGAGGCATGTGCTGTGCTGGAAATGCTGTCATTCATTTGTAGGCACGTTACATTTGACAAATGATGCCATAAATAAAATATCTACCTTAAATTTACCCTTACAGCTTACCTGAATGTCACTAGATATCTCGTAACTCAACATATTTCCCTGACTTTTTTTGTTCAATATTATTTTGATTTAAACATAGCAATATAGACACAAGTTGTACCTTCTTTTAAAAGGCATAACTTCTTGTATTTTCCTTGTCTTAAAGCTAAAAAAGCTACTGGTTTGGGTTTGTTTTTTTTTTTTTCTGCCTGCCTGCAAATCAGACCTCTCCAGTAACCTAATAATTATGCTCAGTCAATGTTTGAGCCTAACAGATGCAGAGTAACAGGTTATTAAGATGCTGTAGGAAATACATATTTCCTGATATTATAATTATTAATTGAGAGGTACCCAGTTTAGCAGGACACTTTCTGTAACATCATCTTCCAATGCTGATAATGTGCTAGTTGTGGCTATTTGTGTTAGTTACCCACCATGGAAAGGAAACTAACAGCTGAAGTTTTGAATTAATATTTGTCTTAACTCACATGTGTGTTTTCTCATTGTATTAGGCCCCTGAGGAAGATAACAGTTGGGATGTTCCTTGCATCTTTGGCTTTTGTTGCTGCTGCCCTTCTGCAAGTGCAAATAGATGTAAGTTTAGCCACATCCAAGTACTTACTACTAATATTTAGTTGTTTAAACAAAACAAAGTGTGTTTAAGGGGAAAATGAGTCAAGATGACTAGATTTGGAACCACACATATGAGTGCAGAAGTAGAGGGAAGGGAAAATATTAAAGTATATTGCAATAGTATGATCAGCATAATAAAATCAACTACTTATGATCACCATCCTGCAAAACATCTTATCTGCCATTAACATAAATCACATATTAAAGGCAACCTCAGGTCTTTAAACTGAGACTAAAAGCTGAAAGCCAGAGATTTGTTTGGTCTACCAGGGGGCTGCTTTGTATCTCAGATCTCTTCTGATATTTAGACCGCAGGTGAAGTGGGACAGCCTGGGAAGCATCATCACAGCATGGGCAAAGATGAGACCTGTTTAAGGCAGGATCCATCATACCTAACTTTCCTTGTCCCAAAGGGGAGGTGTTATGCCTGAACCAGATGAAGGTTTCCCCAGTAGCTGGGGCATTGGCAACACCTCTGGGATGTGATCCATTGCATCCCAAGATCTGAATAGCTGTCCAGGGGTGCCTGCCTGTCTTCATGCACTATCAAGGCAAGATGCTTAACTCTTAAATAGCTTTAATTAGGATTTAGGAATTCTCTCTTAAATGCCTGGGTCTAGGAGCAAAACAAACTTTGTTCAAGTCTGCCTCTTGAAGTTGAAACTGAAGATGTCTGTACCTTCAGCTGGTACAGACATCTCCAGGCTGTCTTCCTGAATGCCCTGTTCAGAAGGCCAGAGCTGTGCACACACGCATACTGGCACTGGGCAGAAACTTCATCAAAGCCGGTAACTCCCCACACTGTTGCACAAGAATCTCCTGCAGAAGGGTACAGATGGACCTGTTTTTGTTGCATGATGTACCTAGAGAGATTTAAGCGAGCAAAAATACAGGAAGAGAAGAAAGGTTGAGGCAGAACTGAAATACACAACTCTTGCAGCTTTCGGTGCTCTGCGAGAGCAGAAGCTATTTATGTTAGATCTGGTGGGAAGCGATGACGTCCCCAGAAATTCAATTTCTCTGAGCTATCACACTGGGCAGTGCTCATACATGCTTCTGTCCAGTTCAGCAGCACCAGTGCTTGGGAAGAATGAACTGGAACATGGTGCAGAGAAACTCAGGAACCCAGGCAGCCATAGGATGTGGGGAAAAGCCCATTCCATGAACTGTGGAGTGGCCTTAGTAGTAGCAACATGCTGCAGGAGGTGATCAAAGAGGAGCCATGTTGGGCTGTGGAGGCATTGTTGTGAATGAGAAACTTCTTTCCTGAGGCAGCAGTAAAGGCAGCTTGAGACTAAAACCAAAATCCATTGCTAAAGTTGCATCCCTCTAACAAGCTCAGATCATCAAGCAAATGCTAATCTTCATCGTGAGATAATGAAGATCACAGTAATTATAATACTTTTTCTATGTGACTTAGGGTAAGGCACTGATTTACTTTTTTCTGTCCTCCAGAAAACACTTCCAGTTTTCCCTTCAGCTGAGCAATCTCAAGTCAAAATAATAAATCTAGGTTATTCTGATGCAGCAGTTCAGTTCAACCCTCAACTTCATAGTGTGAATGTATCGTCTCTGATGTCGGTAAGTAAGAGGAGATGGGAAATAGCAAGTTAAAAAAAAAAATCTAATGGAGTAAGTCAAAGTGCTTCTTAACATATGGTTCAAAATTGATTCTCTTCTGGACTTTTTTTTTTCTGTATTCACTATAAAGATTTTTTCTTTTGTGTTGTGGAATGATTTTTTTTTTTACTAAAAAGTGAATGAAGAAATGGTAACTATTTTAGTGTTCTAAGTAGTACTAGTTTGTTTTGGCAAGAAGTTTTTTTTTTTCCTCCAAGAAACTTTAAGAAACTGAATAGTAATTTTGAACTAATTGAAAATTTCACTCTTGCTAAAAAGATGGACAGCAAGAACACCCCTTCCTTCAATAAAAGCCCATTCAGCTTTAGTAAGTCACTGCTCTTGCTGTACATGATCTCTTGAACGGGGAGCTTTTTTTTTTTTTTGTGACTGCATCACATATATTATTAACCTTCAGTTTTTGCTGTCAATGAACCTTTTCAGGCTCTATTACAGCACAACTTTGATAGTCCTATTGACAACAAAATGTAGTGAAGCTGATGGACATATTAGATAGTGGATGTTAGGAAGTGTGTTCTTTGCTAGCCTGCAGTTCTCTTTTCCATATAAGAGGAGAAATCTGTATTCCATCCTCCTCCAAATTTGCCTCATATGGAAACTGAGCTGTGAGGAGAAGTTAAGGGAACTAAAAATATATGCTGATGTGGAATTGATATAACCATGGTGCATACCTGAAAATGAAGGGTGTAAAATACCCCACTCCCTACTGTAGACATCTTATAATCCAGAGGTTTTGGATTACAAAATGTTTTTTATAATCCTGTAAAATAGGAGGGTTATTTCAGTACTACATTAGCATGTTTACTTGTGGTTTAAGTATTTTATGCTGACAAAATGTATTCAGAATATTTTAAACATGCCCTGGTAACAGTGACTCCGTTTATGCTGAAACCATAAAGATGCAGCTTACATTTGCATCTTTTAAGAGATGTTACTATTTGGAAAATGCTGCATCTTAACTTATGCTAGTGCTGCCTCTGTGCCTAAGCAGAATTTTACTTGGTGTTGGTGGTAAGCCTGATTTATCTGGAATGAGAAATACACAGGAAAATATAACAGCTATTCCATAATGCCTGTAGGAAGCTCATGCTACTTTGAAGTTTGTGTAATGAGAGAAATTAATAAAAAATAATAATCAAATGAGACTAATGCTTAATGTAGAAAACCTAACAAAAAATGAATGTTAAGAGATGCTCATGATCTTTGGTGCTTCTGAAGTAACTTGTAAAATCCTGACCCCCTGGAAACCACAACAGTCCCTCAAAGTGTATGGAAATTCATAGCAGTTCATTTGTCTTTGTAGACGGACTACCTGACACTTGAGAATTCTCAGTTGCAATCACTAACCATAAAGTCTGGAAGCAACGCTCTAAGTCAAAATATCAAGCTGCAAGGGGGAAGCCGTTACACTCTTTTGGTTAAAAATACTTTCTTGGGCATCTTTGCTGGATTGGTAAGTCTGCTTAATTCTCAAGATATACATTAATGATTTGGCAACTATCTATGTGGAGTGTGTGTGAAGCTGAGAGGACAAGCTCTGGGTAGTTTTTCCTTTGTCTTGTTTTCTCTCTCTCTCCTCCTCTCTGCTGTATCAGTGAGACTGGTGACCTGTAGAGGGCAGGGCAGGATGTTGGTTGGAGGGGGTGGGGGGGGTATGTAAAAATATTACCAACTTAGTATTTAGCTTGACAATTACCCTTTCATCAGTGGTCCTACAGTGTTTTCTAGTAGGTACGTATCTTAGTAGGATCCTAAAAGGAAAGGTCTGGAGTCTTGCTCTGAAGCCTGTTAATTCTCACTGCTATGTAATAGTGCACATTTAAGCTGTTCACTGGTGCCAGTGAAGTATCTTGATAATGGTCTCTTTCACCAGGTGTTTGACAATGTCACATCAAAACCAGAAGAAGGAAATAATCTCATCAGGTAGTTTGTTTTGCTTCTAAGTTTTGGCCGTAGTGTGACTTCAATCTGCCTCTTGAGTGGACTCTTCTTGCTAAACGTAGCTTTCTATACTGTAGGAAATACCTGCTTTCTGCTCACCTCACTTAATGTTTAGGGAGTGTAGGAACTTCTGGGGCATGATTCATCTAAGCTATCTTGCATATCTACTGTAGGTATAATTTAGGTAAAATTGGAAGTGCATGTTTTGCTTTGTCTAGACTTTTTTGTAGACAACCAGCACAGATTGCATATCTATACCTCCTTATTAATCCTAGGTAAGAAGTATCATAACACTTCCCCCCCCACACACCCCTGCATCTTCCATTTGTAGATGTTTGTTACTGGCTGTAGTAAAGGCTTGCTTTGACATTCTCTTAATCAGGCAGTGGGCTGATGTGGCTATAGCTTGTTTTTTTGCATTAGCCATGTTTTAAGAGATTTAGAGTTCTTTCACTTTTACCATTTAACATTTTTGAAAGGGGGAGACTTGATACTTGTTGTGCTGCAAGTATACAATAAAAGGAACAACCTGTATTCTTTGACTTATGCATATTTTGTTTAGTATTTCATCTCTCTTGCATTTCAAAGGGTCATAAACAACATTCCATTAACTCTCAACATCTCTGTGAAAGACATTTCTTTTGGATCAATGCCGTATCTTTCTGTCAGTAATTACGAGTTAATGCCGGGAGGAAGGTAAGCATTTTCCTTTACCTAAATCTAATCACTTAAAGACATCCTTTTCCTTGGGAAAAGAACATAGAGCTCTTTTATATAATACAGTTGTCCATACCTATGGTGTGAATGTTGTTTTTTCTTTTTTTTTCAGTAAATATGGATTTGTTAGAACTTCAATACCTTGTGTAGTTGGTGTAAGAGATTTTGGATATGGCGGTGTCCATACACTTGTAGTTAATGGGGTGAGTTGCCAGTGCTGCTGGATAGACAAGACAAAACTACTTTTCATGTCAATATTTTCTTTAATTAAAAAAGCACTTGTAAAATTATCTTGCTCTTAATTGCACATATTATAGAATTAGTGTAGTTAAACAGAACATATAAGCCCATTATTAGCTATAAAAACAATAATGAGTATGATAATGATGTAATGCAAGAATTCATCTTCATCAGTAATGGCCTTAGATCTTTAGCCCTATCAGACACTAAGAGTTTGCATTAAGTCTGTTGTAAAATAATGACTATGTAGAGCTTCATAAACAGTATTTCTTACCTGCCAGGAACTTTGTGTATACATGATTATAGAGATGGTAAAGAACTGCTTAGAGTGCCTTCAGTGTACAGACTCTTTATAACTGTTCCTAATGTGCTATTTTTGTTTCCAGTGTCCTAACTACACTCTTGATGTAAGGTATTTTGACGATATCCCACCCAACTCAGTCAGTATCGCTTGGCAGATCCCACAGTATTTTATTCTTACATGTGCAGAAGTAGTCTTCTCTGTCACAGGGCTGGAGTTTTCATACACACAGGTAGGTTTTGCTCTCCAGAGCTCTCATTGTGTTAAGAATCCTGGTACCAAATTAAGATCTTCTGTGACTTATTGGTTTTAAGTGGTGGTTCTGTATTGCTGCTTTGTTTGAACAATGATGCCTTCCAGAGCTCTGTAGCAGGACTATAGGCTGGTGTAAGTTGGCCTTGTTTCTCTAGAATTCAGTGTTATTTCATGAAGCTGTGATGAATTACATAATTTGAAGACTTGATCATCAGTTCTCCAATTTCCTTCTCACATGCGACTTTCCATTGAAACTAAGTGGAACCATACTGCTGCTGTAAAACCAAGCAGGAAAGCCCTCAAACATAAGATGAAGTACTAACACCTTATCTCCACACCAATACAGGCTTTAGCAGCAGTTTAATTATACACTTTTAATTCCTTTGTCTTCCAACTCTGGTTTGTATTATTAGCTATGTGTATTTCTCCCCTGAATTCTGAGCCTACAAACTGCAGCAGTGGGACCCTTGTAAGATGTGGCTTGCTAGACTACGATACAGTATTTTTCTTTAATGTGTACCACATGCAACTGAGTCAGATGTAAAATGTGCCTGTTAGTTACTCAGTGTGTACAAAGTCAAAGCTGTTATAGTTATTACATAGTAATATCTTGCTCCTCAAAGCCTTTTCCAGGCCTGTTTAGTTCTCTAGCAATTTTTAATTAAAAAAAAAACAAAAAACAAAAAGAACAACAACAAAAAAGCAAACTAACCAAGAAATCCCCTCTCCTCTGAGAATCAGTGTTTTTTTTTTAAGGTAAAGAATGCAGTAAACAACAGGAAATAAGTGATAGCAGTGTTTGACTAAAACTCCAATGCCTTCACTTCTCTAGGCTCCATCTAATATGAAGTCAGTGCTGCAGGCAGGATGGCTGCTAACGGTGGCTATTGGAAACATAATTGTCCTTATCGTGGCTGGAGCATCTGGACTCAGCGAGCAGGTAAGCACATCAAGCCGTTGGCATGCTTTTATATGACACTGGGAGAAAGCAGCTCTGATAAAGGGGGAGGAGTCATGGCCGATCATCCTCCACCACATCTTTTGAACATCAGCATTATGGGGGATTTGCGTTTATAATTGGAATGTAGGAGGTTGGTGTTAGCTACAGGCTGTTGTAGAACTAGTGCTTGACTGAATCTTGTTAGAGTATATAAGCAACAGAGTTATGAATCTTTATAAGCTATCTGGATTAAAGCCAGTGTTGAAGGCTGTGTCAACAAGGTGGTAACTTGTGTTCTGGGGCCACTTCTAAAGTTTCTGTAGGTCTTTTTCCTCCAGCACTCCCCCAATGTGTGTACGCATGTACATGCACAAATTCAACTTCAAACAACCCTAACAAATACTACTTTAACAAAAGTTTCTACCTCTTACCCGTTGTTTGCTATTCATAACTCCTGCTCTCTCAGGTTCCTTCTCTTGCAAAGAGCAGTTTCCAGAAGCTTTAATATGCATTATATACATGTAATACTTAGTCCTTATAGGTCATGTGGTCCTCGTTTTATGTGCTCAGTTTCACATTCTGAATTAACTTCATGGAATCACAGAATGGCTTGGGTTGGAAGGGGCCTTAAAGCTCATCCAGTCCAACCCCCTGCCATGGACAGCGACACCTCTCACCAGACCAGGTTGACCAAAGCCCTGTCCAACCTGGCCTTGAACACTTCCAGGGAGGGGGCATCCACAACTTCCCTGGGCAACCTGTGCCAGTGCCTCACCACCCTCACAGTAAAGAATTTCTTCCTAATATCTAGTCTAAATCTCTCCTCTTCCAGTTTAAAGCCATTCCCCCTCGTTCTGTCGCTACCTGCCCTTGTAAAAAGTCCCTCCCCAGCTTTCCTGTAGGACCCTTTGAGGAACTGGAAGGTTGCAATAAGGTCCCCTCAGAGCCTTCTCTTCTCCAGGCTGAACAGCCCCAACTCTCTGCCTGTCTTGAGAACTTCATTTCTTGCAAACAGTAAAAAGGTGTAATTCTTTTGAGGAACAAATATTGATGGATAAATTATACTTTTTTTTTTTTTTACAGTGGGCAGAGTATGTGCTATTTGCTGGTTTGCTATTGGTAGTTTGCGTCATTTTTGCTGTCATGGCTTATTTTTATACCTATATTGATCCAAATGAGATTGAAGCGCAGCTTGATGAGGAAGAGGAGAAACAAGTCAATGACAATCCAGAAGTCTCTGAAAAGCGAGTGGAAGCTGACTCTCAGTTGTAAAAGTTGTATTCAAGGAGTGTTTGTGAATTGTGCTATCCCGTTAACTAACCCTGACTCCTCTTACTGCAGGGAATCAGTAACAGCTCTGGATAATATGCCCAATGGGAGAGCTTAAGAAAAACTGTGTTAACTTATAATGCAGCCTCTCTTGGGAAGCAAGAGGAGAAGATTAGTCCCTCTTGTTCTGAAGATGGTATGCTGAAGAAACTTCAGCAGAATTTGCACTCTTAATGTACCTCAACCTTAAATACTATAGCATTAAAATACTGAAATTGCACTTGGCACTATTAGACCCTGGGAAAAGATGTATTTTTATACTGCATTTCAATTTTACATCATGAAAGAAACAAGTATTGCCAAGAAATAGTAATCAAAGCCAAGCTGCCTGCATGACCCCCCTAACCTCACTGTTACTTGAAAGCAGCAGGTCACATGTGCCTTAAATTCTTTTGTACTTCTTCACGGATAATGGGAGCAAAGCTCTGGCATTGCCAGATTAAAATGCTCGCCGTGTTCCACATGGCAGTAATTTGGACGTGCACTGTAATATAATGTTTTATGTGCCTGTTAATTGCCCATTTAACTCCTGTTATGCTTTTAACTGAATGTATTAATGAGGTGTCTACTCAGGTAAACAGACAATGGCAAATGACATTTGGAATGAACAACAGCAATAAAACTGCTCTTGTAACAAAATAATGGAAGAGATGTGAGAGTGTGACTTGCAGCTGCTGCTTCTTCATGTCTGTTCTACCACTTGAAGCTAGTAGATCAGTGTCAGTCTTTTCTCTCAATGTATCTGTAACACCCATCAAATGAGGAGGACTACATTTTGCTGCATAACAGGATTCCCTGCCAACCTCTGAGGAGCTAAGGTGGGTTTTATACCAGTGTTACTTGTGGTACACCAGCCAGACTTTCCTTTGCCGTGCAAGTTAAGCAGAATTAAATTCTCTTAACTGTATCCCTACAAGACAGCACCTAATTCCACTATTTTGTCCATACCAGGTGAAATATTTATTTTAGCATTTTAACATTTGGGTTGGACGAGACCTTAAAGCTCATCCAGTCCAACCCCCTGCCATGGACAGGGGCACCTCCCATCAGACCAGGTTGCCCAAAGCCCCATCCAACCCGGCCTTGAACACTTCCAGGGAGGGGGCATCCACAACTTCCCTGGGCAACCTGTGCCAGTGTCTCACTACTTTGAGTAAATAATTTCTTCTTAATTCATTTTTTCTTTGATATGCAGGACATGTGTCTACTTTTTATAACAAGCTGTTGGAAGTTAGCACTTTAGTAAACTTCCTAACTTGTCTGCCATGTGAATGGATGTGTAGAGAGCCACTAATGCTGTAAAATTAGATGGGAAAACTTACTGAATTGGTTCAAATCAGAGGTGCATTTTAAGAGGCTTTGTGAAGATCAGTGGACACCTGCTGCTGGCAACTACCCCATCACTTGGAAGCTCTCCACAGCATCCTTGTGCAATGACTTTATAGGAGGGTGAAGAGAGGGGCAGTTAGAGGAAAAAATAGGGTGTGGGAATCAGTTTGTCACCTTTCTGGAGAGGAGGGGCTGGGGGAAAGACCTTTTGGAGAGCAGTGTAG